ATTTTCTAATTGCTCGTAAAATTCGCCTCTTGATGCAATAAATTCCTTTATTTGTGGCAAAAGCATGATAAACCGCTCAAGTATTTTACCTCTGCTCAGCCACCTCACTTCAGTATGTAAAAGAAGATCTGTGAACTGAACGTCCTCATCTTCTAAAAGTAATTTAAACAATCTGTGTTGCATAGCTCCCGATCTTATGGAATTAATAATTTTTGTTACTATCGTAAATACGTGTTGAAAACCGATTGTTTTTGCGCATAACATTTCCTGATGTATGAGGCAATGATAAGAAATAAATTTCGGGAATAAGGAATCCTGTCTACATAAGGCAATAAATCCTTTTTTCTTACCAGTCATCGCTGGTGCCCCGTCTGTTGTAATTGACGATAACTTTTGTACAGGTAATTTTACATCTGTTATATACTTTTTAAAAGTAGAAAAGATATCTTCTCCTCTGGTGCTTCCCTTTAATGGCAGAACTTTAAGGAATTCTTCTTTTGTTGTAAAATCAGAAAATACCATCTTCACGCAAATTGCTAATTGTGATATATTTGTCACGTCTGCCGATTCATCCATCTGTAGCGAAAAGAAAATACAATTTTCCATATCATTTGCTAATTCTGCCTCCAAATTCTCCGCAATTACTTCAATTCTTCTAGTAACAGTTCGTGCTGATAATTGCAACGTGTTTATAGCTGAAACTATTTCCTTTTTATTTTTAAATTCTTCAAAAAGTGAATCAGCAGCTTCTAACATGGCTTCTTTCACTAATTCTCCATCTGTAAATGGTTTTTTTATTCTTAGCTAGCAAATGCGATATTTTATATGACGCGATCGTTGCTGCTTTATGTTGTTGCAGTGGTTTAGTAAAAAAACTTTGCTGGTTAGTTATTGAAGATTTTAAAGAAATAATTTTTTTTTTTTCTTCTAATTTCAGAGTTCATTGGATAGTCACTATCAAAATTGGTATGAACGGTCTTAAAATGTCGTTCAATATTACTTTTCTTGGGAATCGCAACACTATTATTACACAACAAAACAAATACACTTCCCTTTGTAATCAACGAAACAATATAGATGTTCCCATTCATCGTTAAAATAATATGTTCTTTTTCTTTTACATTTATCCATGAAGGGTTTTGAAAGAAAAGAATTATTTCGGATTACTTGGTAGTTTTAAATGCACGGTCTACGCGTGGTCTATTCGAAATACGATCACACACTAACAAAAAATACGTGCGTGTTATTAGATACGCTCAAGGTTAGCAAACTGCTAATCTATGCACAATCCTAAACTCAACTGACTACTGTCTAACCACGCTAGCGAGAGCAGTTTGGCTGAGGGCCAAGATGGGTCAGTTTAATTGAAGGGGTGTGGTGGGCGAAAAGCGCGGGTATTTTTCCCTCTCGAAGGTCGAAGGGTGTGGGTGAAATCGAAGGTCAGGGGACATTTAGTGTCTACCGGGCTACTGCACTCACCCCTACATAACTGATAGATGTGCCCACTTCCGCCCCAAACCGGATGTTTACATAGATCTGGAATACGTGGTCAGACAGTACTTGCTGTATATCGCCGTTTGACAAGAGTAAGTAAATCGCTCTGGCTATCATACATTTACATTAGTCCAGCGAGGGCGCATTAAAAATCGATCGGGGGCGCCATGGCGCCCGCGTTGCCTACCCTGCTAGGAGGGGAGTTAGCGAAGAGTAGATTGCTTGGTTTGAGTGAGCGAAATTGAAGCCGATATCTGGTTGCTGATCGTTCGCGTGTTTGTAGTCACGGACTGAAAATGTGTTTTGGAGCTATCGCATATGTCTAAATAAAGTGTGTTTCGATACTTCATCAAGTATTGTCATCATTTTTCACTCCAAAACCATACGAACCCCGTACAAATGTGAAGGAAGAAAATAACGTAACAACTGGTGTCAGAAGAAGAAAAACGCAACAATATATTCAAAGCAAGGCATTTTAAGAGTAAAATTCTGTATTAGAAATTGTTATTATAATATGCTGAATGTATTCAATCTTATAAACGTAGTTTCAATTTGAGCTTAACTTGACGAACCAGCGGCTCAATGACATGTTTACAACAGGGTAACTGTTGCCTCCATAACGGTTTTATTTATTGATACTTTTTTCTTGCATTTCTGGTTACATTGCCGAATTTTTTTTTTTTTTTTTTTTTTTTTTTTTGTTTTTTATTTTGACACTGTGTTACTTTTGATACAACTAACTTTAGTATAGTGCTATTCTATAGTAAAATGACTACAAATCTTTTCTGGGTAAGGTGACCTCATTACATCTTTCTAGTTTGTGCCAAAATAAATTGTTTTTTCATCAAAGAATGTATTTTAAGTGAAACGCGTGACCATGTCGTTTTTTTGCTAAAGGACATAAACAGGATATGTGTGTTCTAGCAAACAAACTTGATGTGAATGTTAAGGAACAAATGACAATAGTTGATATTAAGGATGCCATTTTAATGAGTAAGGGATATAATAAAGAGTTCATTAAAGATCTAATTTTTAGCATTATTGCGGAACGAAAAGAAATAGAGGAACGTGAATTTAATGAAGAAAACAGCTTGAGGAACGCAAATGTAACAAAAGGAAAGAGATAGAATAATGCAAGCATGAGCTTGAGAAATTGAAAATACAAGTAGCTAGTTCAGTGCTAGTCATGATTCCGTACCTGCTTTGAAACCCACTGACATGAATATCCTAAGTTACTATTACAAACTTTAATCCAAAAAGTGATGACATGAGCCCTTTTCTCACTTTATTTGAAAGGCAACTAACAATTTTGAACATACCCCAAGGGAAATGGGTAGTGTATCTCTTGGGTTTGTTACCTAATGACATTGCAAAACTGATTGCAAAGGAATCTGCTGGTGATGCACAATATTATGAAAACATTAAACAAATTCTCTTAAAGCATTTTAAATTGAGTGCCGAAAAGTTTCGAGAGTTATTTTTGCAACATCGCAAAAATCTTGATAGTACGTGGTGAGATTTTTACTTCGATTTGAGAAATTTCTTGATGGCTGTATTTGCGAATTAAAAGTCAATGCGTTTGAGAAGTTAAAGAATTTCATGATATCAGACCAAATTAAAAGTCGGTCTCCTTCTGAGTATAGAGAACATTTTGTGGACCATTGGTCCGAGTGGACTGATCCGCTTCAACTGGCTGATAAATTAGATTTATATGAAGAAGGCTAAAAACATCACGAGTAGAAACGTCAGTAATAACACTTCCGAAAGCCATCTCAACGTAGTGGTACCTAAAAATTATAAAAATAACCCTCAACTTTGTTAAAAACTCAGCGACAAGGAATTCTAGCATAAGAGAAGATCGACCAACTGTTAGTTGTTATGGTTGTGGAAAATCAGGCGTCGTTAAGGCTAAGTGTCCAACCTGCTCTCCTCCTTTAAGTAAAGAATCAGTCGACTTCAAAGCAATAAACTTACTTATAGTGTCTGTAGAGACACCTCACACGATTCTTTTAAGAGTAAAAATCAACGGATTTACGGGAATTGTCTGTGCTGATACTGACGCTGCTCACACTATAGCGGGAGAAACATTATATAATCTCTTGAAAGAACAAGGATCAGAATTTAAGAAAACTACTATGAATGTCACTCTTGTCGATAGTATTCAAAGGGACGAAGAGGTCCACATGACCCAGGTAGACATTCGCATTGAAGGAAGATCATTCCGCATAACTTTATTTGCACTTCCCTCAGCAAAGGGTAACAGGACACTTTTAGGATCGGATTTTCTTAGAAGCCTTGGAATTGTTTTAGATCTACAAAATCATTGGTGGTTTTACCACGATAAAATCCGCAACAAAAGTTTAAGTTTATTGATGATGATGATTCTAAGCCTAATGATTGAACTGAATGTACGTCGTAAGTTGACACTGTACTGTTAAGAGATTGTGAAGGACAACATCTATCGGCTTATCAAAGATCACAATTAAATGAATTATTGAGTCAACATTCAACTATCTTCCAACCAGGGGATAGAAGCAACACCTTTCGTAGAACATCGAATTAAAAATAGAAACCATCCCCCAGTAGCTGTACCACCATACAGAATGAACCCTGCCAAGAAAGAAATCTTAAAGCAAGAAATTGACAAGCTCTTATCTGAAGGAATAATTGAGGAATGCAAATACCCTTATGCATGCTCAGTTGTTTTAATACTGAAACCTAATGGAACAGTACGCTTCTACATAGATTACCGGAAATTGAACGCGATTACATTTCCAGATTCCTACCCACTTCCAAGAATGGATGACCTGTTACATGAGGCAAAACCTACTCCTTTCATGTCGACCCTTGATCTTCATACAGGTTATCACCAAGTGAATGATTCGAGAACCAATGATCAAGACAAGCCAGTCATTTGTGTGTCCCTTTGGAACATATCGTTTCTTATGAATGCCCTTTGGTCTTCGAAATGCCCCAGCAACGTTCCAGAGATTGATAGATCAGTTTTTGCAATGGAACTTGAGAACATCCTAACCCTCACCTTATCTGGACGAACATAATCGTGTTTGTTCAGAATCATTCGAGAAACACCTTTCCGATTCTCAAAGCTGTTTTCAAAAGGCTTTTGCTTTTCAAACTGCACACAAACAGAGAGAAGTGCCACTTCGCTTCTTCTCGTGCGAAATATTTGGGATTTTGGATCACACAAAATTAGGGATCGAAGTTGATCCAGAAAAAATTTTATGTATCCAGAGAATTCCACCTCCCAAGTAACCCTCAAGGAGGAACTCCAATCCTTCCTTCAAACGCGTTCTTGGTTTAGACGATACATACAAAACTTTGTGGAAAATATCACGAACCTCCTGAGTAATTTGAACGATAAAGAAAGTCCAATGGGAATGGAGTTTCAACCAACAAAAAGCATTTGAAACTCTAAAAAACTGCCTCATAACACCTCCTGTGTTGAAGTTTCAGCTTTCGAGATTTCAAATATATCTGCAGTGGACATGCCCACAAGAAGTCCAAAAGGCATGTGGGAATCTCAGCTTAAAGATGAAAACTTGAAAAAGATTATAGAGAGTTTCGAATCCACTCAGAAAACTGAAGAATGTGCCAAGTGGACTGAACGGGGATTTTTAATGAATCAAGGTGTTCTTTACCGATATGTCCCTGACTCCGATTCAAAAGAGGCCCAGTTAGCAATTCCAACTGCCGAGCGTGATTCCATCATGCGAAAGCACCATGACGACCCAATGTCTGGACATTATGGAGAGGAAGGAACATTCCAACGAATTGCCAGACACTATTACTGGACTGGTATGAAAAAGTACATATCCGACTATGTGAAAAGCTGTCCTTGAATGCAACCGCTACAAGGCTACCAAGCAAAAGCCAGCTGGACTGCTAAGAACCCCTGTCTATTCTCAACATTTTGAGATCACATCTATTGATTTGTTTGGACCACTGCCAAAAACTGACACTGGAAAACAATGGATCTTTATTGTCGAAGACTGTGCTACACGATGGGTTGAACTATTTCCTCATGCTCAAGCTACAGCACGCAGCTGCGATATAACTCATCGAAGAAGTATTCATGGGGCATGGTATACCATGAAGAATCATCAGCGATAACGGAACCCAGTTTATGAGTGCAGTCATGCAACAAGTTTGCTGCACATTAAATATCAATCAAAACTTGATACCAGTTTACTTTCCTCAGTCAATCCTGTAGAATGGAAAAATAGAGACTTAAAACCTCGTTTTGTAATCCTTGTAGGAGATGCGCTTGACAACTTGCATTCGAAACTCTCAGTTATTCGCTTCGCTATGAATATGGACATTTGTGACACTACAGGCCATACACCAGCATTCCTAATGTTTGAAAAAGAGCTGAGGACTGTCGACGACGTTGTTCATGATTTCAAAGCTGTGGTTGAAAATGATAACTTTGTTCCTGAAATCACCCCTTATCTTAAACGATTCGCAACTATTAATTACAAAGGACATACGAGAGCGTATTGAAATAAAGCAAGATCAAAGTAAAAAGCAATATAATAAACGAAGGCGACAAGTGTTTTATTCACCAGGTGATAGAGTATGGGTCAATTTACATCCCGTTAGCAATGCAAAAAACAAAAAGACTTCGAAGTTCATACCAAAGCGTGACGTTCATACCTGGTAATGACACAGAAATCACGTACTTCCTATGTCATTTCAAGCCTTCATAAACCATCAGAACCGTACCATATGTCTGCACTAACAGCTTTCAAAGACTCGTCCATGTAATGTCCGTGTGTAACTTAAACCTGTTAATAAATACTTGTTGCACTATACAGGACTCTTCTATGACCCTGTCTAAAAAAACCCCTTCACAGTGTCCACTATATCAAAAACTGAATTCTCTCTCTTCTCCCCCCAATCTGTTAAATATGATTCATTATTCTTAGCAAGTCGTACTATATAAGAATGCCCCTTTAAGAAAAGCAGCAATGTACAGTTTTGAAAATTAAATTTTATTCATAATTCCCAATTATCCACTTGAAAAGAAAATTCATTCAATTGTGATCCAGTGGTTTTATGAACTGAAGGCAAATTGTTTTTTTAACACATTTAACTGTTATGCCTTTATACTGTGCTTTTGATTATAAGATAGTGATGCTGAAACCCAATACTCAGTGTCTGCTGACATTTCCATTTCTTGTTGACAGATAAGTGGGGCTGTGTGATATATTAAAGAGTAATTTACTTCTTCGATATGTTTTAAACTGTAAAAAGTCATTAAATTCCTTTTAACTTTTTTGCCCACCAGCAGCAAGCGGTAAAGTCGCTGAACGCTGGTAGTTCGGTCCGAGGTTCGAATCCCGCGAACAGGCTGGCTGCATGGGCATTTTTGTGTTTTTCCACGTGTGTAACGTGTATACAAGCAAATTTCCCTTAGAAAGTCCTTCACGAAGACATACATTCCCTTAGGCAGATAGCCCTAGTGTGCTTTGCCATAATCTCAATAAACCAACCAAACCAAACCTTTTTAACTTTTATATATAAATAAATAAAATGTGAGCTTGCCAGGATATTTAAGAAAGTTTTTTTTAATTGATTATGCATTGCATAATAAGCATAATTATTAAAGTTTAATAATGAATTATTTTAACTACTAAATTTAGTTTTTGCTTGAAATATAAAATATATTTCTTAATAAAAAATTTCGTATTTGTAGAATTAGAAGCAGAAGCCAATGCTCCAAGACCTAAAACTCTGAGATTACCAACTGAACCCATTAAATTCTGTGTATATATGATTGAAAAATATGGTGAAAATTACAATGTGAGTATGATTATTTTCTTGAACTCTACTTCATGTAATATAAAATTGATCCTCACTTGTTTTAACATTCCAATTGTTTCAACTGTTGCTAGTTATAAAGTAAGTATTATATTAATAAACAACTAATTTTTGTATTCTAAAAACATGAAGAGGCATAAAACAAAATGTCATACCATAATTTATTATGCATTATTAAATATCATTTAATAATGCATAATAAATTATTAAATATCATTTAATAATATTAAGTAGAACTTTAAATATTGTACCTTGCAAGTATTCTGATAAACTAAATTCTAGCTATGTATTTTTCAATATATAAATTCCAAAAGCAGCATGTAATATTTATATATTTATTGTATCCATAAAATTCTTTGCATGGCCTTTATTTGTACAGTTGTTGAAATAGACATGTATCTAATTACAAATCTCAAACAAGAGTTAAAATCAGTTTTGTAAAAAGTACTTTTTTAATATGTTCTTCCCTGTCCCTATAGTTAGTTAGGATTTATATTCATTCCAAAAAATAAAATAACCAAAATTGGTCTGCTGTAAAGTTTGAGATCATGTTGTCTTAAAATTCAGAGGTTATGTGTGAAATGAAGAACAAGATATTTAAATCTGCATGTAACTAAAAATGAAATGTGAGTTAGAAAAAGGTTTGTGATGTTAATGCATTCTAAGTATTTATCTAAGTGAAAAAAAGCATTGATATCAGATCATCATGAAAAGTTCTGAATGATACAAAGAGTGTTTTATATATATATATATATATATATATAAAGATTTTGTCACAGAATTTTCTGTAGGAAACAGTGGCGATTTATAACCACAGCCATCAATTATTTTTATTAATAAAACCATCATTTATTTTAAATTTTACATCCATTCTTTCATGAACTCTTGAACAGGTGACGTAAAGTTGACCGTGTCCAAATGCAGGCTCAGGTAAAAAAAATGGCAACACGCTTAAGCATTTGGCCCCCGAGACTTATTGATGGTCATAAGCAAAGGGAAGTTGTTTACGTCTCAATTGAAACGGCAACCCTCTAACTGTACTAGCCAATAGGGTAAAGTTGCCATACGCAAGCAACCAAAAAACTATCGGCGACAGACACTTAAGCCACATATAATAAAGATATTTATTTATTTCATTTTTCATCATTGCTGGTTGCATATTTCCGAATTCGATTATATATAGATGTTAAACTTATTTATTAAATGTTAAATGCAGGTGCTCTTGTATTTTTAATTTTTTCGGTTTAGATTTCTCATAATATTAGTCACACGCTGCACTGCATGGGCAATAAAACAATTTACAGTTACGCAAGCAAGCAATAAACTATCAGCGACAAACACTTGAGCCGCATATATATAAGATAGATAACCTGAGTCTTAATTAACTTGCTTATTAATCTATAACTCATGTTTTACTTTTTTGTGTATTGCCATTATCACTGATTCGCTCATTTCTCTGGAGCACAGTCACAGAAGACATAATCACAACGCAATGCCAACCGCATAATTATGATCGCAAAAAAGTTAAATTGGTTAGCACTTATCTTTTATGTTACTTTAGGTTTTGTTTGAGCTAGTTTAAATTTAAATTTAATTTTTTTTTTTAAATTTAGTTATGGATTCACCAGTTAATATTGTTTGGACACAAAAAAATTCCTTCAATATTACAAATTGGAGACTTTTCTATAGAGGTTGCCAAAGTATTTTGCGATATATACTGCCAGTTTCATCAGCATTGTAAATTTGTTCTGTAGATAACTGTTAATGAGCTCGATGAATTCATCTGCAAATAGTGTAGCACCTTCAGTATCAGCTGCAGCTTTTTTACCTGAAATTCTTAATTGCCTTATATCATGGTGATTTTTTAATTTGATTAACCAACTTGTCGAATATGTGCAATCAGTTTTAAGTTCGTTTCTTAGTGAAATATTTTAGCTTGTGCCATTAGCATGTGACCTGTCAATGGCTCACCCTCACTAGGACACTATCTCACCCATTTAATCATCACTTTGTCCTGATTGTCTCTTCTAGCATACCGAATCATTTTTCTGTTATTCGTAATGGGTGTTGGAATCCATAAAAAATAAGTAAAAAAACCAAAAAGTTTTGTTGTTTTGTTTTCTTATGTTATGTAAGTTGACTTTCCAATGCCATACTCCTCACATAATTTTGCGACGGATATACCTTTATCCATTTTTTGCAGCAATTCCACTTTTTGTTTAATGAACATCGAAATACTATATATTTCGTGGCAGTTTGGTATCTTATCTACTTATTTACCTTACATGGGAATAACCATTTAAAATTTTTGTTTTAAATGTTCAAATGGCGAAAGAGTAATGGGCAACATTGCCTAAGCGCCACCGTTGTTATGTTATGTTAATGAACATCGAAACATGCTTTCGCTGTGTAGATCCTGTTCAGCTCCAGGATTAGAAACTCTTTTCGACATGATCAAAAGTTGAAACTTTAATTTTCATCAAACTGCTGTAATAAAAATAGTCTGTAAAAAATAATTAAGCTTGACCAAATCAGAAAGTTAAAGGAACAGCGCAATTTGCTATATTGTTTGAAATTCCTTGGAATTGGTAAAGTATAACATTAGCCTAGCTTAATAGTGTCCGCTATACATTATTGGCTATGTCTCATTAGATTAGCGATAAAAGACAAGTTGTTCTATTAAATTTTGACTTGCTTCTATCAAGCACCGAGACAATTAAGCCTGATTTTATCGCTAATCTAATGAGACATAGCCAATAATGTATAGCGGACGCTATCTTTATATCTGAATCCTGAATAAATATATTCTCACATATTCTTATTGCTTATCGAGAGCTGGCGCTAGATATAGTCTCTGTGCCTGATGCAGTGTCTGCGGGTCCTGAATTCTGTTACCAAGCGCATCCCTAAGTTCTAAATTTTTGCTGCTCCAAAGTTTTAGATCCTAGTGCTTTTCCAAAGATCTTAAAAAATATTTTCATCCTTTAATTTTGTTGCTTGGCACTTCTCTAAATTCCCAAAATCTTGTCTTCCCTAAATTCTGCCTCCCGGTGCATCCATACGAGCTCTGGTTACAGCCGAAAACGTTGCGTAGAAAACAACGAAAGGTGAAAATGTCGTGCCACAAAACACGGTGAGAGAAAATAAAGCAAAGAGAAAACATCATGGTACTAAATATCGTCATTGGGAATAAAGCGGTTAAAAAACTTTGCAGTTTAAAAACATCGTCGTTGAAAATATCGTAGTAAAAATTAAAGTACCTACAAGTCATCATATAACACTAACATCACAGACATGCGTTTTTCAGGCTTAATTGGAATTGTAAATGGATATTTGTATGATTTGTGAGTGCAAGGTGGAAAGAAGGATAATTTTTATACTCATATTTTTATTAACTAATAAATTTATGAAAAACAAAACAAGAAATTTAAACAAAAGAAATAATTTTTACTATAAGAGTATCAGATTAACAAAAAAATAAGCTCATAATTAACTTCATTTTTTTTATAGATAATGACATGCAGTTACTTATCTTCCTTTTTCTAATCTTTGTAGATTATATTTATCATGAAAAATTACCAGTAAAACTTTATAAAAAAATAATTTATTAATGACTTTTGTTAGTTAACTATGTCTGTTTAAAATTCTATTACGTGCTTATAAGTTGCATTAATTTTCTATGCTTAAGTTTCCATTTTACATTTTTCAGCAAATCTTTATTAATTAATAATAAAATATGAAATTAAAAATTATCCTCCTTTCTGTCTTGTGCTTACAAATCATTATGTGAGTATCCTTTCACAATTATTAAAGCCTGAATTATAAATGCATGTCTGCGATGTTATCGTCATGCGGTGGTTGCGACTTTATTTTTTACCACGTTATTTTCGACAACGATGTTTTTAAACCGCAAAGTTTTTTAACCGCTTTATTTTCAATTACGCCATTTTGTACCACAATGTTTTATAACTGCAATGTTTTCTCTTTGCTTTATTTTCTCCCACGGTGCTTCGCCTTGCGTTGTTTTCTCTGCAATGTTTTTGGTGGACACGGCAAGCTCTGGCGCCGGTTCTGGGTTTATGTGAAAATCAAATCGGTTATTCTCAATTCAAATAGTATTCTTTTGGCCTATGAGTATCATTAATGAAATCTATTTTTAGCATATGTAAGAAATTTTTGTTGAATTTTCCTCGTCAACATTTCTTAGAGCATTTAAAAATCTATAATCATCGCCAAGCCTAATGTTAGCATAAAAGGTTGCCATACTCTTATTCAATTACTAAGATAAAAAAATTGCGTAGGCATCGCTACATGAGTCATTGCTCAAATTGTCATATGCTGATAAACATGCTGCGAGGGAAGCAAAATATGATAAATAATGATTCGCCAGGTTGGTGTCGGGGATATAAAATATTAGTAGGTGTAAAATCAACATTGTTTCTATCTAAAATGTTTCGGTTTGAGATGCTATGCCAAGCAGATACACAGCTATGGAGCCTAATTATTGATCACAGGAATTTTTGCTAAATTGTTGTTTCTTCAATACCGAGGTCTTTATAGAAAGCCAAAGAGAAATTAAGAAACAGGACTCTCCACGTGTTTTATCTATAAAGAGAAAAATCAAATGCACATGCATAAAGTATTTAAAAAGAAATTGTTGGCGGTTTTGAGGTCCGAATTTTAGATCATTCCGGATCTCGGATTTTGTACTGTATAAACGCTTTTCAGTACAATTTGTTGTATACATTTCATATGTGATGCTGCTTTAAATGATTTTGTTAGTTCTTTCTTCCGCAATTTCTTCTTCATGTTTTCTTCTGTTTGCATAGTTTTGTTAGTAAAAAAAATATTCAAATATTGTTAAAATGGTATTAGATATGACTAGATACAACAATTGTTACTGTAATTTGTGAAGCTTTTTTCATTATTTTATGCCACTTATCATGTTTTATTATATTGCATAATTTATTTAGGTAAAGGTATATATTATATATCCTTGTTCTCTGAGTAATCTCACCATTTTATTTATTAGATATTAAAATAAAGAGAAATATTTAAATGAATCAAGATAAAAATATTTTAAATATTAAGATTCAGTTAGTCTTTTAGTCTGCTGTATGTAAAACAAATATGTTTTGTTTTAGAGAAATAAATATCTTTTGTTTTACAGGATATGGCAAAAGATCCCAAGAATCACTATCAAGACACTCCCGCACAAATTAGGAAAAAGATTCTTAAGTTCAAAAGTATACCTTGCCAATGGAATGGCTATCTAAGGGCCAAAGGCTTACTAAATACAAAAGTCAATAACGATGAATATAAAATTAACATTGAAGAAATAATGACCAATGATAGTGCAGTGGATGCACCCATGGAAAGTTAATAATAAAATAGTTTTTTTACTACTTTTTTTATACTTGAAATGATATTTTTTATTTTATTAATAGTTATGACTATAAAATCTAAAATAGTAATTCTTAATTCATACTTGCCAACCTACAGCACTCAAAAATCAGATTTTTCTCAATGACAAAAAGATTATTTAAATAATAAATATTTTTTAATAATGAATTAACTTTAAATAGTTACTAATTAATATCTGAAACTTCAGTTATTAATTGTTAAATTCAAAGAGTACAAAAATATTTTAAAAGCATTTTTATTATTTTCATCTTTTTAACAAAAAATACTTTAGTTTTCATACAAATGCTATGAACAGCAGCAGATTTTGTTTGACTTTTAAAAGAACGTCATAATTTTGTTCATAATAATTGCCATGTAGGCATGATTTTGCTAATAAAAGTTTTTCTATTGTGTCATTACTAATATTATATCTAAATTTTGTCCTTATTTTCGCAACAACACTGAAAATTCTCTTGCTTTCTTCATTAACATGGAGAATTGTTAGGAAGGCCAACATTATTCTAGACAGTTCACTATACTTTAAAATTCCATGGGCATCTTTCAGTTTTCTAATTAAACTCCAATGGGTGCCAATCCTAGCTGGGTTTGTAATTTTATAAAAATTTTCTAATTGTAAACTGCAACTCTGACTGCAATTTATTAGTTGCAACATTGTCTTTCATGACTATAAAGTAAAACTGAAAATCTATTAGAAAAATATATCAGAAAAAGATGCATTTGCTAGAGCAGAAACATTGTTGCGCCTGCGCGCGCATTTCATTACTAGCGTCGGTGCATGCGTCTTGAGCTCTTGGAGTTTGTGACATGAGATTGTGAGCTAAGAGCGTGTGAGAGAATTCGAAGCTTCGAGTGGCCATGAACTATGTAAATTAATGAGAATTAAAGTGAGATATAATACAGTCCATTGTTCGTGAGTTTGTTGAATTATAATGTAGTGCCTGTACAAAACATCGTGGTCCGTCATGGGCCAGAGATCTATGGATTATGAGTTATATACAAGTAACAAGTAAGTCAGCAGTTTCGATTTAAGAATAAAGTATCATTTTGTTATTTTGAGATGCTGTGTAAGAGTTTTGAGAAAATTTATATACTGTGTTACTGCGTTTAAGTAATTGAGAAGAATTACTTATTATCTTGTGTTATTTCATTAAGAGTATAATGTTGATAAAAAGTGCACTTAAAGAGGATTTAAAGCTATTGGCTTTAGAACTGAATATAGAGTTAAGTGAAAAGATAACTGTTACAGATTTAAATTTAGCGATTAAAAGTAGTGAAGCTTTTAAATCCGATCCAAATTCGGTAATAGAGTTGGGTAATTCCATGGTAGAGCATCGTAAATCTGAAGAAGCTAAAGTATTACAGTTAGAACAAATTAAATTAGGAGAGATGTAAAACAGAACTGGAAAATTGCTCGATTGCGAGCTGAAACCAAAAGTGTTTAATAACGATCAAAACGAAACTAAAGGAGAAAGTTCCGATTCCTTAGATTCTCTTATTAAAAGTATAAGAACACTTAACATTGAAGGTTCCGAGTAAACCTGAAAACTGGAGTTATTTTTTCTCGTCTTTAGAAAGAGCTTTCGCGACAAAAAAATGTGCCTGAGAAATCTAAAGCGGAAATATTGTTAAACTTGTTAGGGGAACGGGGTTCGAACATTATCGTGTATATTAGAGATGAGGAGCTAAGTGACTATGAAAAAGTAAAAGCTATTATTCTAAGAAGAATTCGAACCTACACCACAAATTGTTTCAGAAAATTTTAAAAAGGCTCAACGCCTAAATGAGTCCCATGTGCAGTTCGTGTCGCGATTAACCACAAATTTCGAATATTACTTAAAATTGAGGAAAGTGTCTGATTTTGAAACTCTGAAGCAGTTAATAATATCAGACAAATTGTTTGAAACATTAGATCGAGAAACGTCAGCCCATATTTCTATAAGGCAAGCTGAAAGTTGGTTTCCGCCTCAACAAATGGCAAAGGAAGCAGATTTATTTTTCACATCTCGCGGAAAGTCCCTTGCCGCAAGTGTGGACAGTTTTCAAAAACCTCGCGACAATTACAAAACGTCGAAAAATGTTTCAAAGGTATTCCTTGCCGATGTAAAAGGATTAAAGTGTGTTCTTTGTGAAGAAAATCATTTTTTGGCAAAATGCCCAAATTTCTTGAAACAACCGGTGAATGATCGGGTTGAAATCATCAAAAGTCATAAATTATGCTTTAATTTCCTAGCATTAAACCATTCCGTCAAAAACTGCAAATCAAAGTTTTCGTGTTCCGTTTGTGGGAAAAGACACCACAAAAACACTGCATTTTCCGGTAGAAAATAAATCATCGAAAGAGAAGGAAAAAAATAAAAACAAAACAGCGAGTAGTTCCAGTATGCTTTCCCCCCTAGCGCCAGACTTTCTGCCTAATAGCGGTAATACTCTACTTACAGCGACTAGTGTAAACAGATCCAGAAAAAGTGTTCTGAGCACGGCTATTTGCTTTATTAGTGATAGTATGGGTAAGCTACATCCAGTCAAAACATTACTTGATGGCGGCAGTACTTCATCGTTTATAAGCAGAGACTGTGCGAATAATTCAACTTTGAATATGAGAAGGTAAACATTGCGATTTCCGGATTAAATGATTCCTTGTTTACAATTCGGAAAAGAGTTTCGGCATGCATTAGCAATAAAGATAAAAGTTACATGAGACATTTAGACTTAGTAGTAGTACCAAAAATCACGCAAGAGTTGATTCCTTCAAGGAAAATTGATATTAAAATGCAGGATTTTTGTAACATAAAATTAGCTGATGAGAATTGTAATGTTCCAGAACGTATAGAGATGCTTTTAGGAGCTGAGGTTTTCTTTGAGATATTAAAATCTGAACAAATTCGATATGAAAACTCGAGTCTTATTTTACAAAACAGCGTGTTCGGGTTTATAGTGTCGGGAAGCGTTACATCAGAAGAACAGAGCCGCGTACATTGTGGGTTAATGAAAACATCTAATGACTTAGAACAAACAATGAAAAAATTTTGGGAAATAGAGAATGTTGAAATAGCCATTCCAAAAAATAAAGAAACAGCAATATGTGAAGAACATTATGTGCAAACTCATAAGCGGAATGAAGAAGGGAGTTACATTGTAACAATGCCACTAAAGGAAGATCCTATTTGCTTAGGGAATTCAAAAGATTTTGCCCTTGAGAGATTAAATTCCCTATGGAAAAGATTAGTTAAAGACCCTGAATATTTGAGTCTGTATCAGGATTTTTTAAAGGAATATGAAGAGCTAGGGCATATGACTGAGGTTAAAGAGAAAAATGAGCCTAGGGTAGTGTACTATATGCCACATCATGGGATATACCGACCTCAAAAAACAACAACTAAATTGAGAACAGTGTTTAATGCATCATGTTTAACATCAAATGGAATTTCGCTAAATTCTTTACAACGTAATGGAGGGTTATTCAAGATGATCTCTTTTCAATCATGCTTAGATTTAGAAAGTACCCATTCGCATTTACGGCGGATATTAGAAGAATGTATAGAATGATTAAAATTAACCCTGAACAGAGATGCTTGCAGCGAATCCTGTGGAAAAAAGAAAATGATGCACCTGTGAAAATCTACGAGCTTAATACTGTGACTTACGGTACAGTTAGTGCGCCATACTTAGGCTATGAGAACTCTTAAACAATTGTCGATTGATGAAGGTCCAAAATTTCCATTAGCTGCGCCAGTCATACTTAAAAACTTTTATATGGATGATGTGCTTAGTGGAGCGGGATCTTTGAGTACAGCTAAGGAACTTAAATCTCAGTTAACTGCAATACTGAAGAGTTGAGGAATGACACTGCACAAGTGGTGCAGTAATCATGCTAAACTTGCGGAAGAAGATCACTCCTATTCCTTTCCTAATTAAGCAGAATCTACAACACTTGGAGTGTCTTGGAGGTCTAGAAAAGACTGTTTCTGTTTTAGAGTGAAACTCGATAATGACATAGTTGTTACCAAACGACAAATATTGTCCACAATTGCAAGATTGTTTGACCCGATTGGCTTACTAGGGCCAATCATAAGTAAAGCCAAAATATTCCTGCAACGGTTGTGGTTGTTAAAGCTGAATTGGGATGAACCACTACCAAAAAAAGGAAGCTGATGAGTGGAAGAAGTTCTCTACTGAACTGGAAGTTTTAAGTAAAATAGAAATTGAAAGGTTTATTCTTATTGCAGAAGTAGACTATGTGGAACTTCATGGATTTGCAGATGCCTCTGAGGTAGCATACGGAGCAACCATATATTGCAAGTGCCGTTCGAGAGATGGAGAAGTGAAGACAAGGCTAGTGACGAGTAAATCCAGAGTCTCGCCTATTAAAACGAGTTACTATTCCGAGACTGGAGCTTTGTGCGGCAGTCCTACTTGCAAGGTTGATGGTTAGAGTAATATCTGCATTAGAGATTTCTGTGAACAACGTTTATCTGTGGAGTGACTCCATGATCGTGCTTTCATGGATACAAAAGGAGCCTTACCAGTTGAAGACATTTGTTGCAAATCGAGTGGCAACAATTCAAGAGTTGACTAATGGTCATCAATGGCATCATGTGTCTTCAAAGGAGAATCCGAGTGACCTTATATCCCGAGGCTTGGATCCCAGTAAACTTCTACAAAATGATATGTGGTGGAAAGGCCCTCTGTTCCTGAGATACGACGACTACCCAAATAGAGAGATTCCGGTGGAAGTCATTGTGAAGGACCTTCCAGACGAACTTAAAATCCTTAGTGACTCTAATATTTTTCTTAATGTGAAAGCTAACCCTTTCATTGAGGATTTCTTAAATTTAAGTAACAATTACACTAAAATTATTCGTGTTTTAAGTTTTATTTTTAGGTTTGTAAACAACTGCAAGGGCAAGGACAAAGTTTCAGGTCCTTCTTCAGAGTTCAGAATTAAAATTAGCTGAACTTAAACTGATTAAGCTAATTCAAGATAGTGAATTT